CTGTGGTGAGTTCGCCGTTCGCCGGCATTGTATTTCAGCTATGACATATGTATCTATGTACATAATCTCTTACATTTACCAAATAATATTGCATACATACTACATATATGTATGTATGTATTTGTACTCGTTCACCCTGCCGTCTGTCAAATAAATCAATGAAACTATTAGTACACCAACCATGGGTAGACAAGTCAAATGCAAATTGCGGTAAATTTATGAGCATCGCGTAAGCGGTTAAACGAGCTCTGCACCACCGCAATTGAATAAGTGCACTCGAAATGTTGAAGAGAGAGCGCATTGGCAACAAACCGGATTTGATTAATGCAAACAATTTGCAAATTACAAATTCGATGCGCTGATAGCGCAATTTGATGTCGGCTGCCATTCATTCACTCACTGTTGCTCGGGATGTATATCATTCGTAGTATTTTTGTTTTTTGTTCGTTAATCGGTTTACATACTTTTCTGTTTTGTTACTCACCTCATCTACCCAGGACTTATACTTCTCGGTTAAGGTGATTTGTTCGAGCATCGCTGAGCCTTGATTAGTTTTCCAATGGCCCGAGATCGATTTGCGCCTGTAACGAGAAATCGTGAATGAGCGGGAGGCAGAGTAACAACAAAGTAAAAATAAAATAAAAATATTCCTTTAATAAAATTGAAGCATAAATCACGAAATAATAAGCGGCACTTTTGTGCTGACTTAAATGCTTAAATGCTATTATTATTAAATTACGCGACTATCGAGTTATTCGCTTGTCGGCGCGACGGACAATTTCGGCGCAGTCGCGGCGGCAGCAGCAGTGCTTGATTGGCGGCAAAAGAGGTCTTTGACTGTGGCAATCGTATAATCGGCTTTTGTTTTCACTTTATTTTTATTTTTATTTTTTTGTTGCTTTTATTATTGTACATACATATTGTGGTGGCATGTCAATGAGAGTTTGAGCGTTGAGCGCTGAATGCAACAGCAGCAACGACCCGCACGCCAGCGCATTGTTTATGAACCTTTATTGTATAAAGATTTCTCAAGTGCTGCGTACGCGCCCTCGCGTAATGAACTCCCATTCTTTCAGCATACTCCCATTTACTACAATTCACGAGTGGTGAAATTCAATGCAAATGCAATACTATTTGTTGCAGATACTTCAAACGTAACTGCTACGATGCGCCGTAACAGCGAATACCTGCAGTGCAGTGATAAATATGACGCACAGTGCCCTTGGGTGGGTGAAATCTTTCCTAAGCTTGAAAGATTTCTGCAGCTGGATTCCAACATTTGCTGTCGCTAATTTTGATCGTCGAAAAACTCTAAAAGCATAAAAGACGCCACAAACAACACGTAACATCTAGTTGCATGATTTTTATATGACAACTCTCATGCAAAGCAAAGTATGCATTACTGGGCTATAAACCATACTTGTAGGCAACGTTGCCAGGTTGACGTTTTTAACGTAATCTGGACATTTTTTGTGTCCTGTTGACGTTTGGACGATTTTTGTGTAAAAAAATTACCTTTTTTAACTAGCCAGTAATTTTTCTCTATGCACAATATATCCATTGTATAGCGGACTATTTGCTTGTAGAGTATGTACTTACGCTCACACTTACGGCAAATTTGTTACTAAATCTTTTAAGTAGAACTGATTTTGAATTATTTTTTTAATAAATCTTTACAAGCTTTGTTTTTTTGCGGCAGGTGCCCCAAAAGATATTTATTATTTGGCCACATATGATTTAATTATGATGAAAACCAAACGTACGCACATTTTTTTTTGTTATTGTTGGACTAAGGATCCCGCGTTCAAAGGCCGGATGTGTAAACACTTGAGATTACAAGGCTTATTACAATGTTTGTTATTGCATATTAAAAGCCAAATCAGGAAGAGCTGATCTATTGCAACACACACGCTCGCAAAATCACTATGTTCCTTCTTAGCAGAACGTAATTTAGCATTTTCGACAGCCGACCAACTAACCAAATGTCTACAAGAAACAACAAAATATTAAAAATTATGTGATATGATAATATTATATGATATGATGTGACGTTATTTTATCGCACGTTTAATAATAAAGTGAGTTATTTCAAAATAAAATTTGCGGGAAAATACAACCGAAGTTGAATAATTTCATAAAGTTGGTTTGCAAAAAAAAAAAAAATAAAAAACAGATGGAAAGATACATATCTTCACCGTTTTGGGAAGTTTAGTAATCTTCAGAATGAACATGTCTGTGTTCATATGGGACAGTAGCTTTAAAAAGAACCAAACTTCTTTATATCACATCGCATGATGCCGTATCTTATGTCATTCAATCCCATTATGCCATATGATATCACATCGCATGCTATCGCATCACATCGACCATTTTCAAGAATAACAGTATCTAAAAATTTAAAAATTCCTGCGCCATTAAGCACTGTGCATTGCAGCCAACCGCACTTGATTCGGCTATAGGTATATATATACTCCTACTTTGATTCAACGCTTAACAACTTTTCATGGTGCGCATTTCAATTATTTTACAATTGCATTACACTGCCAGTGACCGCCGGTTGATTTGATCTTTCCTCTTGTTTCTTTTCTCCGACCACTTAGCCAGCCGGTTGTGGTGAGACTGATGAGTGGCATGCACAATAAAATCAAGGTCAGCGAGTCAGCGGACAACTTAATCCATGTCTTTAGCGATAGCCATTGACAGTGTTGATGCAATGCATTCGTGATTCCTTAATATATATGTATGTATGTATATAGGCATAAATGTGTTTTGGCTCAACATTTTTTATTTCATCCAAAATCATTTCGATGCTTTGCATTTAAATCGCGGCATTACAGAGTCCACTCAGGAACTCGTATGTGTATACTACATATGCTCAATCACCGCTGATCAGATGACCACAAACAAACGTACATATAAATATATAAAGTATTTATTTATCTACGCATGTTTTGAAACATACATATATCACGAGCAATGTATTAACTACTTACATAAAAGCCTTGTAATTATTTCCAATCTTCTGGATATGCACATCGAATTTTGCATCAATATACGGCTCAATCGTGCAATAGCAGTGCGCATCGTTGCCCGAACCGGTGACAAGGCCAGCCGCATCTTGTAGGGCGCTCTGGTTCTCGAGGCGTGCGGTAGCAACGCCGCCATGGCAATGGCCTGCCTTCAAAACACACGGAAACTTTGTCCAGCTAAACTGTAAGTAAAAAAAAACATAAACAGTAAAAATCACTACATTTGTTATCAGAAGTTGGCCAAAAAATTAATATTTCAGGAAATGCCATTCAGTAAAGAGCAGCGGAATATATTATATATATATTTTTTTTACTTGTTTCAAAAAAAAAAAACGGTGGCTTTATTACAGACGTGCTTGTTTTTATTTTTTAGTTTCGCTGTATTGCTAAAAAGCAGATTGAATTTATGTTGATTAACTTTCTGGCTGTTGGCCAACCATGCAACAGGCCGCGACGTTTCATGCCGCATTGTGAGGCGCCGTGTGACATTCGCTTATTTCGTTGAATTTCTGCGAATTTTTAATGAATTTTTCGCCAAATTTTCAATTGGCCACTTTTCCACACTTGCCAAACCTTCTCTATTTCGATTATTCAAAACATAATTTATGCCTACTCAAAATTTTAAATTCTTAAAATTTGGTCGATTTTCTTATTTGAGTTTTGCCTTGATCAGCTACTTACGCCAAAACCATCGTCATTCTAATCTTTTTCCATTGACCTTGGCCATGAAAATTTATTTATTGGATAGCCAAGATTGTTCGTGTGACTAGCGTTTACGAATGCTTTTTTCACATGGGTATGTATGTATGTCTATATCGTTTTGTTTTGAATAAATGCTATTAATAAGAATATGAGAAATACAGAAAATACTTATATACGTATGTAGGTATGTATTTTTAGTTCAAACGGTACTTTGAAAAGTGCGCAATTTTCCAAGAAAATTTCAAAGAAACATTTATTTCCGGTTGCCGTTGAAGTATTATTTCATTTTTGGGTTCTAGGAATTGATTTTGGTTGATCTTTTTTATTTTTGATTTCATATTCATTCTGTACTTTTTTGTCCTTGTTTAAAATATCGTGGGCTAATATTCCAAAACCTACTATGTGATGTTAGAACGCATCTGGGCCTTACCTGTCATCACTGATGTTAATTCTGACTTTGCAATTTAATAGTAAATTCTACAATTAATACCACCGATGACAGTTAAGTCTTAGGTGGATTTTTTCTTTTATCAGAATCTCATTTTTGTGAAGTGAAAAGTGCAGATAGAGAGTTTTGAATATAAGCCCTCGCTTATTTATAATATTGATCGACATCGATTTAAAAATAGCATCAACAGCCTAAGGTATGGAATAAAAGCAACTCAAGGGAGTCTCGCCTAAAAAAGCCAAATGCAGGGGAGGGAATAGAGCTTTTAATGTTGAGTGAAAAGATAAATTTATGTATATGA